TATATATATATATATATATATTTGTGTGTGTGTCCTTTAATATAGATATAGGCAAGGGTCAAAAGACGATACCCATCTAAGTCAAATAGCAGACATGCGGGTAGCTAATTTGCATAGTTGATATTTTCGAAGTTTTATGATAACAAACTTTGTCAGTGTACTTAATTTGCCAGCATACATGAATTCAATGGATTATACATTTCAGAGTGGAACTTCTCTATGTGAATGGGCCTATACGGAACGGGAAAAGGCCAAAGATTTAGCAATCACCATTGGTAAGAAAGTAGGCTGTGAATTTACGGATAGTAAATCATTTGTAGAATGCATGAAAGGTGTCGATCCTGAAACTGTTGCAAATGCGTCTGTTGGGGTAAGATTATTGTGATTTAATTATGTTTAATGACATATTTATGTGTTTGTCGACCAATGTCAACATTGCATGGGCTAGTTTTAAAAGTAAATTCATTGATGTCATAGAGAAACTGGTTCCTCTTAATACTGATGTAGAATAAATCGCAACACTAATGATTTTATGAGTGGTGACATCTTAAAGCCCCATTCCCAGCAAAACTTCATATTTTTAAGAAAAATCTGACTTATATATATTAGAAAGATTTATAAACATAATGCACAATTGCTAGTTTAACTAAATTTAGACATTCCTATACATGAAAAATAAGTCAAATAAGACTCAAATTTGATTTTTTTTTGTGTTCCACACACGGATGAATTTTGTTATGTTTGATTTTGAGACAGGTTTATCGAAATATAGTAGGTGCCGGAAACATAGCCTAACAACACTGCTAGGCTAGGCCTAGCCTTACCTCGATTAAAGTTCTGTTATCAAACAAAAAACGGCCAACATGATATTTTCCGTTGCTATTGTTGACACTTGTGGATTTAATATTTTATTGAAATTACTTGTTTAAATGATTCTGGCTGCGCTTCAATTGGATGGTTTAGTCCCTACTTAAATGGCCGTAAACAGTCTGTTTATATGAAAGGTACTTTCTTCTGGTCTTGCCAATAGAGTGTGGAATGTCCCAAGGCAGTACCGGTATTCTTGGGCCTCTTCTATTCCTTGTTTACGTAAATGACATTGCTATGTTTCTTGACCCCTCTTGTAAGGTTATTTTATATGCGGACGATTGTGCAATTTTATTTTCTGATCCCGACCCTGCTTTTATTGAGGAAGTTTTGTGAAAGTGCCTTGAATCTTCGGTTTTAATGGTTGCTCTGTGAAAGCGTCTAATTCTGTTAACTACGTGTGCGTTCAGATTGTCTAACAAGTGTCTGGCGAACTCATTGCTGAATCGGTAATTTCTAGTTAATTCTCATATTAAATTGTTATATTAGTCACAACAACTTTCATTATAATAGTCGCAAGTTACTTAGATTTGCTCTGGTTCAAGCCATTTTTCATCTTCTTGGTTTTCTGAGATCTCTAATGCCAGGATCTTTCAAAAAAGTTTCAGATTTCTCAAACATGATAAAAGATATCGGTTTTCTTTGTGTTATTAATAGAGCTACATTTTTAAGATTAGGCCTATGTAATGTGTACAACAAAACGGTCCCATTTTATTTAACTCAAAAATTTAAACTCATACAAAATTGTCATCACCGTTTCACACGTAGCAGTTCAGTAAACTTTACGGTCCCTATAAATTATTATAAACATTATGAACATTTTATTTCACATTAAATTAAATTAAAATTGGAACAGATTCAACCAACAAAAATAAAGCTCTCCACATTTTAAACTATTTTCATAAGTCCCTCAAAGACCACCTGTGGAATGGATAGGTGTTGAATGATTTCCTATATTGCCTAGTCTTCAGTGGTGGCGCAAGGATTTGTCCGACGGGGAGGCTGAGGTCCCCGACAGGGTTGGGGAAATATCCCCGACGAGAGCAAAGTGGGCGTGTTTCGAAAGTGGTCCAGGGGGAAAGGCCTTCAAAACATTTGACAATTTAGGGGTTTCAAAGGCTTATTTAATTGATTTTATAGTAGATAAATTGATAGAATCTACCATTTAGTATTAGGTGAAAATAATTATATTTTTTTTGCTCCCCGACGAGTTTTCGTTTATCTCCCCGATAGGGGAAGGGTAGCTCCCCCCCCCCCCCTGAGGCCAAGTCTTTTGTTATGAAAATTAACTTTCAATTAGTCAAATAAGTCTATTTTTTCATTAATTTTAAGTAGGTGAAAGAAGTTTTTAGTTTTCAAATTGTTAATATTTTAATATTGTCTATTTTAATATTATTAATGATCACTTTAAATTTAAGCAAATTTTCTTGTTTTACCTGAATATAGGCCTAACCTTTTTAAAAAGTTTTCCATTAATTTATGCAATTGAATGTTTCGTTTGCATGATCCCAATGGAAATAAGTTTCTTTGAAACCTTTTTGGGCTATTCCTTACTTTCACAGTTTTCAATTGTATTTTGTATTTTACTCTCATTGCTAAATAACTTCAAATCAAATAATACCATGATATTGGTACTTAACAATATTTTAGCGTGGTGTTTGCTATTTCGCTACCGGTTTTAGAATTTAAACTATGCCTTTGCATATAATATGCATTTGTATTTTTGGGTCAGTCAACTCAAATTTTTTATATTTTGTATGAAAAAACAGCATAACTATATCATACTTAAACAATGGCGTCTAATAAATATATTGTTTATATGAAATAAATATATATAATGTTAATAATGTTATTAATCCTTAAAGACTTCATAGCGAAATGGCAATAATAATTAAGAAAATGTTTTCGGTATACCGAATGATACTCTTCATCATTCTTGAAGACGGTTAAGCTTGGTTTCCGTAAAATCGCTGCACAGTCGCTACAGAGTTTGTACTGCAATCCTTGCAGTGCGTAGCTGTCCCCGACGCAATCAGGAACACTCCCTGATTCAGCTGACTAATCGACGTCACCAAAGGAGTCGACGATATCGTGTAGCGATTTTTATGGAAATCAGGCTTTAGTGTATACTAATCGAAAGGTTTGGAGATTACAATCCAAAGTATCATACATTGTAAAGCGTCTTCTAATCATCAATTTATTATCAAAATAAAGAATATCACTATATTTCTAACCAATTGATTAATCCTTATCTAAATAAATAGGCTAAAATTCCTATAAACTTGTAATTTTCAAATCATTTTTAATAATTGTTTATGTTTAACAGATAAACGTTTATCCGGGGCCAGTAGTAGACGGAATATTTATTGAAAGCAGTCCAGAGATTCTGATACGTAATGGAGAGTTTAAAGCTGATACAAAAATCATCATTGGAACAAACAAAGATGATGGAACACTTTTATACTTATACCTACCAGACTACCTAACTCCAGATACTCCCAAAGTTTCCAAATCCGAGTTCCTTAATCTAATTCCAACAGCATTTGTTCCAATTGAGGAAGCATCAAATCCCCATATTTTGGACTCTATATATTTCGAATACACCGACTGGTCTCACGCAGACGACCCTGAAGCTAACTATTTTGATTCAGGTGTTCAATTGGCCACAGATTTTCAGTTTCTCTGCCCAAGTGACGCAGTACAGCGTGCGCATGTCCCAGTTGGTAACAAAGTGTATGTTTATCTGATGTCTTATACTCCAAAAGTTCCGATATTTGGTTTCGATTTTGACTGGCTTGGAGCTGGCCATGCCGAAGAACTCCAATTTGTGTTTGGATTGCCTTTTCTTAATGGAACACATATCTACTCTTTAGAACAGCCGTCTGATACTGACCGAAATTTGTCGGTGGAATTTATGAGATACTGGACCAACTTTGCAAAAACAGGGTAAGTTTTATTAACATTTAGATGCTTAGTCTAAACAAACTATAAACTACGGTATTCAACTTACAACTTTCAACTACTCCTGTTTATGCCCTTAGAGATCCAAATACCAGAGGGAGTGAGGTGTCAACCCCTTCCTTTGATGAGGATCTTGCCGTCTGGCCAGAGTTTTCAATCCCTGAACTTAACTACCTCGATATTAATCCGACGTCGTCACCTGAACGAGCTTATCGAGCCGACAAGTGTGCCTTCTGGAGCACGTATGAACCAAAACTCGAACAATATGCAGGTATATGCTATATGAAATAGGTCTATGTTAGCCAAACATACATGTGCTGGACGTTGGAGTGTTTCGTGGAAATTGGTATTGTTTTGTAATTGTTATTTAATGGGATATCATTATTTGGAGAGCCACCTAGATAGTAACTTATTTTATTTTTTAGCAATCCGGCCGGCTCTTGGGTGAAACACGAGACTACCTTTTTGCAAATTTAAAATAAATTAAATATGTTCACAGTGTTTCTACTATCGAGTAGAATCGAGGCCAGATACACCTCTCTATTTCCTGCTTTCATGCCATGTAATAAACCCCCTTTGGTCGAAGTTTGCGAAATGTACTCTAAACTTAGTAAGATTAAAAGCAGCAAGGCAGCTGGCCCGGTCGAAATTCCCACCAAACTTATTAAGAATTTCGCTTGTGAATTTGCTACACCTATTTGCAATATTTTCAATGCCTCTCTAAAAGAAGGATATGTACCTCAGATTTGGAAAGATGCCAATGTTATACCCATACCTAAAGAAACGCCCGCATCTATCGACAAACTTCGCCCAATTTCCCTTACCTCCCAACTCTCTAAAGTTTGTGAGGATTTCATTTGCGGCTGGGCCATGAATGATATTATCGATAATATAGACCGTTACCAATTTGGATGTTTACATGGATGTTCCACCACTCATTGCCTAATTGAAATGTTAGATAAGCTATATAGAGGATTAGACAAGGAAAATTCTGTTGGCACTATGGTAATTACAGATTTTACCAAGGCTTTTGATTGCATTGATCATTCTGTTGCTATTAATCGGCTTCTTGATCTTGAAGTCAGGAATGAAATTATACCCCGGATCATTGACTTCTTACATTCTCGACGTCAGAGAGTTAAGTATGGATCTGCATTCTCGGGCTTGCAACCATTATCATGTGGGGTCCCTCAGGGAACGAAATTAGGCCCGCGTTATAATGCGTTATACGAGTCTACATGCAGTCGATTTAAGTATGTCGATGAATTTACTCTTGTTAATACATTTAACACTGGTAACTTTAACTGCATCACTACTGCTGTGTCAGACCTTGTAAGTTGAAATAATAACAATTTCATCAAACTCAATCCTAACAAATGCAAGGTTATGCAATTTTGTTTTAAAAGAGAACCCCCTTACCACCCGATATTTCGATATTTATGACGATACACTTGAAATTGTCAGTGAATCCATGATTCTCGGACTTTACATTCAGTCTAACCTTAAGTGGGATACTATGGTTAACAATTTTATTTCTAAAAGTAGCAAAAGACTACACATCTTGTATAGGCTTAAAGGTTTTGGTGTCCCCATCACTGATCTTGTGTCTGTTTACATCGGGTATATCAGGCCAGCTTTAGAGTACGCCGTCCCTCTCTGGCACGCCGGTATATCTAAAACTCAAAATACTAAAATTGAACGAATCCAAAAGAGAGCTTTAAGAATTATCATTGGTAACACGTTTGGGAGCTATGTCAATGCTCTTACGTGCACTGGTCTTGAAACTCTTTTGTATAGAAGAATCCATTTGTGCGTTAAGTTCGCGCAAAAGTGCTCTAAATCCCCTAGATTCTCAGAATGGTTCCAACCTATTACAAAACAACACCAAATGCAACTTAGGCACACCGATAAGTATGCTATTATAAGTTGGCGAACTAAAAGGTACCACGAAAGTGCAATTCCTTTTCTAACCAGGTGCCTCAATGACCTCATTCATGACTTGTGAAATCCCCCAATCTCTCAAATATTTACACCAATTTTCATCTAATATTAATAATAATAATAATATTAATAATTATAACAATAATAATAATAATAATAATAATAATAATAATAATAATAATAATAATAATGACAATGATAATAGAGACGAAAATTATAATAATATTGTCTTGTTTAGGCCTATTCCAACCTTTTCAATTTTAATTACCGAATAATTTACAATAATTATTATACAGTACTATTGATCTATTCCTGTAATGTTTTTAACTTCTTTTTTCTGCTGTTATTTCATTGTATATCGCTGTCTTTTATTGTTTTTTGATGTCCTTTTATTGTACTTTTTAACAATTTATGAATGAATTTTAAACTGTAAATCACAAGCAATTCAGTCTCGTTACTGCCATTTGTGATAAATTGAAATTGAAATTTATTTTTTTTACATTTTCTATGTCCGGCACTTAAACTATTTGCACCAACCGAAATCATTATTTAAACTCAACTCTCTAAAACCACCTTCTACTGCAATGGTATCTGTGTTGTTCAAGTTAATATTTTTATCTAATGTGTTTGAATTATTTTTTTTTTAATGGTTCCAGTGTTTATTTTGTGTTACGATATTTTTGTACTGCTTACAAAGGGCCTCATAATAGATTTTCTGAATGGGTCACTTTTTCATACATAATAGAATAAATAATAATTATCGTATAAAAAATACCAGACTATTTATTATGTTCGCTGTAAAAAATAATAATAAAGCTGTACTACCGTCGATGACTCCATCCTGTCTCTTATACACATCTAGATGTGTATAAGAGACAGTTACATGGATGTTCCACCACTCATTGCCTAATTGAAATGTTAGATAAGCTATATAGAGGGCTAGACAAGGAAAATTCTGTTGGCGCTATGGTAATTACAGATTTTACCAATGCTTTTGATTGCATTGATCATTCTGTTGCTATTAATCGGCTTCTTGAACTTGGAGTCAGGATATGTGAACTTTTTGGATGGGTTTCTTTTCGAGGCTACTTTTGCAAAGTAAAGAGAGTTTCTTTTCAAAAAGAGTGTTTTAAATTTTGGGACTTTGTACTATAAAACATCAATCCGTATCATGGAGTGCATTAACTGGCATTAAATCATCTAAAATTCTGTATATACCAAGCGTGTTTTAATTTATTTATACATTTTTTAAATTCATGTAGAATGTAATATACTATCTCGAAAAGCCAATGCTATCTTGAAAAGAAGCCCATGGGCGTCTTTTCGAGATGGGTTTCTTTTTAAGGCTAATCTTGAGGGGGCTTCAATTCGAGGTGGGCTTCTTCTCGAGATTAAGCTCATTGGGCTTCAATTCGAGGTTTTACGGTACATGTAGCTTTATTCCCGAACAAGGTCCAGACTTTCTCGATGGGTTCATATAATTATTTATTTCCCATCAGTCGCCCTCTCCCTATTTCAATTAAATTCTCAACGCCACTAGATGTAACTAACTACTCAGTTTTCCTGTATGCCTAAAATTATTAGATTAAGTAACGCATTTTTACTCATGTGAATGTTGTCTCCACTTCTTTAGCAAATTCTTTGGCAACAATAACTGAAAATCCAGGAAAATAGTTTTTTTCGGTTGGCCGGAGTTGTGTGGGCCTTAGGTTGAATACCGGGGCACTAAGCGATCGCCCAAAATGCGATTTTTTTTTTATTACACGCATGGGCAGTTCATTAATTAACTATGAAGTTCTTTACTTCGCATGCCCATGACTTTGAGCAAAAATTCATGATTCGCACTATTGGGCGGACTGCATATGATTCTTCGTACAAGTGGATTGAGACATTAAGACGGACTCTGGTAGGTCCTAATCTACACAGGAGAAAAATGTTCAATAAACGCTAGAAACGTTATCACGCTCTTAACATTACTCTTAAACTTTGACAAACAACTTGGTTAATGAGATTAAAAAAAAAAACGCTTAATGAAATATAGATTTTTTAATATATTTAAAAACTTTGGGAAAATGTGGAAAATCGTAGATCGTTGGAATTATCAAATTTCATTGACGTTTGCCTCAAACTCTGTCCGACAAAAAAAAAAATCTTAAACATCATTCTTCCGTACAATACAGAACAGAGAATGTATAGGAGAAATGTATAGTTGAAGCACCAGCCTAATGTGAATTAGGGGACTTAATAGGTGTTAAATGTTATAATGATTTTTTAAAATTCACCAGATGATGCCGACATTATTATTTCTTTAATTACTTTCATCATTCTGTGTTATCTTTTCAATAATACCAATAACACATGCAACAGTAATAATTAAGAAAAGAGTACAAAAGTTTTTCTTCTTTTTTGACTGAACTTTTTTTAATTTTATTTAATAATTTTTTTTATACATAATACAATTAAAATGAAACAAGATATAACAAGAAATTAAGTTACATACGAACAAATTATTACCGTATCTTAATTAAACTATATTACGCTTATTTTTTCAAATCAAGATACTTAATTAAGAACTCACAAAAATGCTAGGAACACTGGGGCGGCTGTGGGGATTCGTCCCCACACCCACCAGGGGCCCTTCGCGGGCCTGATCCTCAGTGCCTGGCTCAGGGCCTTAGGACCCTTCGTACGCCACTGATCCTTTGTAGTTCCGCATTTACAATTTTCGCACCCCCCCCCCCCCCCCCCCCCCACACCACACCCCCCGAAGATGGGAACCACACGACGCCCCTGATACACGTCGCTCGTGTACACTCGGAAGAGTAGCTACTTGTTACGGCGACAATATACGAATGACCGAGTTATTATTCTCCGGCCTTTAACCTACTTGTGGCTTGTCGTAGTTGTAGTTCTATTACTTCATGAGTAACCAATGAAGAGGCATTATTAGTGCGCTGCAGTCACCCGGGTCAACAAACAAGTTTGCATTACGTTTAGAATTTTAGTGTAGTTGTTGAAGCCTACTTAGGACCAAGTCTTCTCGGTTAAGAGAATCATGGGTTCTCTAACTATTACCGCTCTAACGTTTTCTTGTATCATGCCGTTAGTTTACTCTCAATCTCCATATGTAACTACAACACTGGGAGAAGTTGCAGGAAATACGATTCTTTTTTCAGAGGATTCGTACATAGGTGTCAATAAATATATCGATGTCTACAAGGGTATTCCGTACGCCCAACCCCCAGTCGGCAATCTTCGCTTTGAGAAGCCGCTCCCGAAAGAACCTTGGATAGGAACCCTGAACGCGATGGAATATAGTCCTTGGTGCACCCAGCCCGGTACAACTCCGTATACTGTTGTGGGGGAAGATGATTGCCTGTATTTAAACATCTTTGTACCCCAATCTAAGGTAAGAAATACGTTATTAAGGCATAATATAACGTTCAGTCAATAACATGATATTAATTTTCTAGACCATGTTCATCATACGTCTGAAATTAAATTGATTCTTGAAATTTTATACTAAAATATTTTTATAAGTTATAATTGGAAGTTACATAATCAACAATTTATTTATTCCATAATTGTATATATTTAATTTTTAATACAGAATGAACATAATTACTGACAGATACATGACCTAAAAAAGTATGCTGAAACAATTGAATTGGTGTATACATTGCTTTAAAAAAAAAATATTACAGTAAATGCTCGAATGAGCGCCGCTCTTGAATAAGCATCGCTCTCGAATAAGCGCCGCACCAAACCTGATTTTTTCCCTAAGCGCCGCTCTCGAATAAGCGCCGCACTGAAGCCTCCATAAATTTTACAAGCGCCGCGGCGCTTATTCGAGCATTTACGGTATGTTTTTGTCAGTTATATACAACACAAAGTTTTATAACTTTTTTTAACATATTTATAATAATAATAAAGTTCTTAACTGTTCTGAAGTCAGCAGAACAAGTGGTTGTCATTGATTGTCTGATTATTTGACAATCTTCAATGTACAAAACAAAGAAGGAACCCTTCCAAGCGTATCCTAAGGCTGGCTGATATTCTAGGGGCCCTCAGAAATAAATGAAATAATGTCATGCTTTATCAGCGAAATCTCATTACGAGGCTTAGGGCGTGGAGATGTTTTTAGTCGTGAGAAAACAAACTCATGTGCTTTCACAGGATTTGAACCCAGGACCCTGGCGTTGGAATGCAAGCACCCTAACCACCAAAATACATCTCTACTACATTGTTTAATGCTTTTGTACTTCATTGTCTTGTCTTTTATAATTTTTTGTACGAGGGTGTGTCGACTGTTTTTTTTATGTGGATGTGTTGAGTTTATAATATATATATATATATATATATATATATATATTGATTTATTCCATAATTTTATATATTTAATTTCTAATATATATGTATCATTATCATATATATATATGTATCATTTATTATTCTTTAGCCAAATAATGCATCTGTCATGTTATTCATCCACGGAGGTGGCTTCTCGACAGGCTCGGCCTCAGTAGAAGATTACTCTGGGGTGGTACTAGCTGCCACCGGTGACATCATCGTGGTAACCATTAATTACAGGTTGAACAGTTATGGATTTCTTACAACAGGCAAGTACCAACATTATTGTTGAATTTTATTTGTTTAAAAAGAAATCAGCGGCTTATACACTCTGCTACATGGTGAAAGTGCTGGATCGGCCAGTGTAGATTATCATCTCCTCTCAAAGCAAAGTTGGGATTATTTCAGCCAAGCAATTTTAGAGGTATGATTCATGTAATTATGTTTGATGACATGTTTTACAAAAAAGTCTATAGACCACTACTAGGCCCACTACAACAACTACTACTACTACTACTACTACTACTACTACTACTACCACCACCACCACCACCTAATCGATTAACGCCCAGACGCGTGCACAAATCTGAAAGAAATAATCGTAGCATCATTCCTTTAGGTGTCTTACCATTAACAGCATTTTTGAATTCTTATGTCAATTAAAATATCGTAAAAAAAAGAAACATTTTACACTAACACGAATCTACAAAATTGTATATCAACACAAGTAAAGCAGATAGGCTAAATTATTATCATAGGTCATCAATTTTTCAGTCAACAACGTTTGTCAATGTTCTTTGCTAACTACAAAAAAAACACTTGTACTTCAAATTGCAGAGCGGTACTAGCCTAAGTTATTTCGCTTATATGGAACGAGAAGTAGCCAAGAACTTGTCGATTAACATTGGTAGGAAAGTTGGTTGTGATTTTACGGATAGTAAAACATTTGTAGAATGCATGAAAGGTGTCGATCCTGGTGCTGTTGTAAATGCGTCTGTGGGGGTAAGATCAAATATTACTTGCGTATGTATGTCTTCATTAAAAAGCCAAAATGCACAATCTACGTATGTTAGTTTAAATGTGATTATGCCTCCATGATCTGTTTCCTTTTTTTGTTCTTCTCTTTCATTGCGATTGAGTAAAACAAAATTTCAATGTTTTTGATAAAGCATTAATAAAGTTGGTGTAAATTTAAGTATGGTTATACGGTACTGTATATTGTTTATTAATTAAATCAACGTTTCGTATGTTCCAAATATATTAATATACCTTTATGTATGTGTATCTGATTTATCAATGGATGTATGTAGGCCTATGAATATACGTATTCAATTTATTTGTAAATATTTAGCCATGATAACATACCAATTGAAGGAGATAGGTTATTCACAATTCTCATGGTTAAATAAAGTAGTGTATAAGCCTATAAGCCTTGTAATACACCTTTTAACAATACTGTATATTTAAGTCTATTATAAAAAAAATACCTGTTTGCTTCTCACAAAATACTTAATCTGATTCATTGGAAAATAAATACTTACGCTAAAAGCGAATCAGTTATCTTGAACTTTTAATTTTCAAACCATATATATTCGTTCTTGATTCTAATAACAGATTAACCTGAGACCTGTAGTAGATGGCGTATTTCTTGAAAGAAGTCCAGAGATTTTAATACGAAATAGAGACTTTAAAATGGATGCAACCATCATCTTTGGAACAAATAAAGACGAAGGAACACTTGTCTACCTTCTGCTACCAGGCTACTTAGGCTACCTTACAACTACTCCGAAAGTTTCCAAATCCGAGTTCCTTACTCTTATTCCAGCGGCTTTTGTTCCAATTGAGGAAGCATCAAATCCTCTAATTTTGGACTCTATATATTTCGAATACACCGACTGGTCTCAAGCAGACGATCCAGATGCAAACTATTTTGATTCAGGTGTTCAATTGGCCACAGATGTTCGGTTTCTTTGCCCAAAAGATGCAGTACAGCGTGCTCATGCGTCTGTTGGAAACAAGGTGTATGTTTATCTGATGACCCATACTCCAACGGTTTCGGTATATGGTCTCGATTTTCCTTGGATTGGTGCTAGTCATGCCGAAGAACTCCAATTTGTGTTTGGATTGCCTTTTCTTAATGGTACAACAAATACCTATTTATTAGAACAGCCGTCTGATAATGACCGCAATGTATCGGTGGAAATTATGAGATACTGGACCAACTTTGCAAAAACAGGGTAAGTTTTACTCACATTTTGACGTTTAGCTTAAACAACTGTAAACTTATTCAACTACAAGACTAAACTATCCTTTTTATGCCGTTAGTGATCCAAATACTAGAGGGAGTGAGACACCAGCTCCTTCCTTCAAGAAGGATCTTACCCACTGGCCAGAGTTTACTATTCCTGATCTTAACTACCTCGATATTAATCTGATGTCATCATCTGAACGAGCTTATAGAGCCGACAAGTGTGCCTTCTGGAACACGTACGAACCAAAACTCGAGCAATTTGCAGGTAAGCTATCAACAATACTTTAGGTCATATGCTGGACGTTGGAGTGTTTTGTTAATTGTGATCAGTTCAGCTTTTACTTAAGTTGGTTATCTTAAATTTAAATATCTATCTCCACAACTTTGCTCCTGTTGCCTTTGCTACTTTTAAGCAAGCAAACAACTAGAACTGGGGTTAAGAACTATTAAGAAAAACACTTCTGTTCTAAGCTCTCTTTTTAATTTATTCTGTTTTCTCTTTTATTAAAGCCAATTGACATCTTACTTAATCTCCACCCACCTGTCCCACCTTCTGCTATGGTGTCCCTGTTGCTTAGTGAAATTGATATTTAGTTTGTTTGAAATTGTTGATAGTTTCGGTATTGTGTTTTTCTGTTTTCTTGCTGTAGGCCCTATGATTTGTACTATTTACAGGGGGCTTTATAGGCAGATTTTCTGTACAGTATACGTCATAATTTAAACATGGTAGAATAAATGAAAATTAGTAAATTAGAAAGTTGTTCAAAGTTATACCGAGAAATACTGTCAGTACCGTAAATGCTCGAATAAGCGCTGCAACAAACCAAATTTTTTTTTTAGCTAAGCGCCGCAGCACTTAATCGAGAGTTTACTCTGTGTGTAATGAAACACTTTGAGAAACAGTAAATACAATGTATACAGTGTTAAAATAAATAAATAACACAATGAACACACAAAGCATTTTGTTATAAACATTTATTTACGATGATGGGACCTATGATAGGCCTATTGAACTACGGGAATACGTGAGATAAGAAACATGGGAACGGGCATCGAAAGCGCCACGCCAATATTTTGTTTTATAAGCGCTGCTTTTGAATGAGTGCAGCTCTCGAATAAGCCGCACTGAAGCCTCCAAAATTGTTGTAAGCGCCGGGGCGCATATTAGCACTTACGGTAAGTAAGTAAAACATCCCAATATTCTGGTTTCCCGAATGATTTTATACAAGCTGTCGAACAATATATTTTGTGCTGATAATATTCTTTGGTTCTCCATTCATTTTCAGCTGACACGTCCGAGATAGAAGAATCATGGAGAACCGATTACTACAGCTGGAAGTATAACGACCTACCTGAGTGGCAGAAGGCATTCGATGATTACAAACAAAGCAAAGTATGCGCTTAAAAAAATACACAAAAATTTTATTTTGTAGACCTAATTTTGTAAATTTATTTTAAGACTTATTAAAATAGTAAGGGAAATGTAGCCATTAAAACTTTTTAGTTGAGTTTATTCAACATGATTTTTAGTTGTTTTTAAATAAGCGTGCCCAACGGTTCACCAACCGTATTGTCTAATGCAGATAAGCATACATTATCAAAGTTTCAATATGTCAAATATAGATTAAGAATATTAGCTGTCTCTTATACACATCTAGATGTGTATAAGAGACAGGTACTGGGGTTAAGAACTATTAAGAAAAACACTTCTGTTCTAAGCTCTCTTTTTAATTTATTCTGTTTTCTCTTTTATTAAAGCCAATTGACATCTTACTTAATCTCCACCCACCTGTCCCACCTTCTGCTATGGTGTCCCTGTTGCTTAGTGAAATTGATATTTAGTTTGTTTGAAATTGTTGATAGTTTCGGTATTGTGTTTTTCTGTTTTCTTGCTGTAGGCCCTATGATTTGTACTATTTACAGGGGGCTTTATAGGCAGATTTTCTGTACAGTATACGTCATAATTTAAACATGGTAGAATAAATGAAAATTAGTAAATTAGAAAGTTGTTCAAAGTTATACCGAGAAATACTGTCAGTACCGTAAATGCTCGAATAAGCGCTGCAACAAACCAAATTTTTTTTTTAGCTAAGCGCCGCAGCACTTAATCGAGAGTTTACTCTGTGTGTAATGAAACACTTTGAGAAACAGTAAATACAATGTATACAGTGTTAAAATAAATAAATAACACAATGAACACACAAAGCATTTTGTTATAAACATTTATTTACGATGATGGGACCTATGATAGGCCTATTGAACTACGGGAATACGTGAGATAAGAAACATGGGAACGGGCATCGAAAGCGCCACGCCAATATTTTGTTTTATAAGCGCTGCTTTTGAATGAGTGCAG